AAACAGTTGTAACACATTGCTTCAAAACCATCAGTATGGCCCAAACCATATGGGTTATGCTATTTGCCTGCTGCAGACAAGCAGGTGGCAGGACTAGCAATTCCTTGCCAGAAAAGCCAAAAAGTTTTCATGTGAGGTGGTGCGCTGGCGGATGCCATATCTGGTACACAATAACAGGCATGCCTAGGTGATGCTGAAACAATTATCAGGGCTGAGATACGGCTGCTGCTCGCCTGCTGCGTACACTGGCGAGGACAGCCTGGGCAGCTACCCAACAGATGAGTGCAGACATTGTCCTGGTGCCTTCCCTGCAGCATGAGAGTCCATGGTGAGACAGCAGAATTTGGTGTTAAGACTCTTAAGACTGGAATATGTCATTATTATGACTGCCCCTTTCCCCTGTGCATATCTCTTGTCATCTCTCTGGGATAGGTCAGGATAGTTTTGGCTGCGTCCTGAGAAAAGGATGAGGGAGGGTTCTCCAGCCAGCTTCAGTGGGACAAAATATGTCACATATAGACGTGTCTGTAGCTGGATTAGTGGTTGGTCAGCATTATCTTGGGCTGCTGTGTAGTTGGTTGCTAAGTAGATTTGGGTTGCCAGGTAATCCTGTGCTTAATGCTGTGGCAATGTCAGAGCTGAGACCCTGGGGAGGAGGGATTGCCACATCGAGCTTTGCTTGGGTGCCCTGCAGCTGTAACGTGGAGGTGGACCACCCTGGTCATGACTACAGGCCTTGTCCTTTATTTATGAGAGTACTGTGGGAAGTTCCTCTGCAGAGAAGAGGCATTCCAGCGGGTCATCCTGACTGTCAGGGTCCTGTGGATGGCACCACAGGAACCCGCGCTCACAGGGTTATCAGCCACATCGCTTTCACAATATCCTTCATGTCCAAAGCCAAGACAACATGAACTGTCTGAGAATATGCCCTGAAGTGAGCTCCTGCAGAATGATAGAGACAGCTATAAACCCTTTGATCCCTGTGCTGCAGCTGCTGAAGTGCTGTGCTGAAGCATGCCCCCTCCTGCTCTGTCTCCTGTCATCTCTGCAACAGGCAGCGGCACCAGCCCCGCCAACCCCTGCACCAGGATGCTGGTCTGTGCTGCCTCCGACGGGAGCTTGGCAGGGACTTCAATGCCAGCAGACGTCTACACGGGGCCTCCCATTGTGCTCGGTCCTGTTATCACAGACATAAAAGGAAGAAGGCACCTCTTACATTCTCCTACGTGACCCAGAGCAACAGCTCTGCCTGTGAGTTTTTTGTTCTTTTGGGGAGAAGGGAATGAAGGTGGGTCTAGTAAAATAAATTGCAGGACTTTTTGTTTTGATTAAGGCCATTGTGCAACTACCGCTTGTATTTTCTGTAGTCACATTCCTACAGCCACACTCACAATAGAAGACAGCTTATTTTCAAGATGAGAGGCAGACTTGACAAAAGGTTACAATAAAGCAAGGGAAGCTAACAACATTGATAAAATATGCCCTTGTTATGAGATTATCAGCCTAATCCTCACTTTGATATGAACCTGGTTTTGGTTTCTAGCTGCAGGCTGAAAATCCTTACAATGTTAATTATGCTTTTCCAAAAGCAATGGCAAGGTGATGGAAAAACAATCCGTATATATTTATAACCACATCTCAAAACTAACCATGTTTTCTTATATGAATAAGGCATTTTTTATCCGTGAGAAATGCCACATTTGAGCCTAAAGCATGAAATAGAGTGAAGGAATAAATGGCAGTATTTAAAACATGCAGATGAGCTCCAGAAACTTCTAAGGGCATTAGCATAGCTGGCTGGAAAGAAGGTACTATTTATCTTAGGAGTCACTGGGTAATGTGTAGCATATACAGAAAAGAGAGGTACAAGATCTGCTCTCTTATGCTTAGCAGCCCTGGTAATTTGGAATTGGAAGTATTTTTTATGAGGCACTCTGCCATTTAACTTCCAGGAAAAAAATACTGTAGCAAAGAAATTCTTTCAACCTTTCCTTTTCTCTCTCATTTTCTGTGTAGGAAAGCAAGATATTTTCTATTTTTTTTTTCTCCCATCTTGAGTTCCTGAAAACTAAGAATAGATGAAAGAGAGAAATACTAACTAGCTTCTTCCAGAAAGATACCCATATCCAGAGATTCATATATTTTAGGGTTTCAAAGGAACATTATGATTATCTAGTCAGAACTGCCTGACAGGCTGTAAAACCTCACCAAGTAATCTCTCCATCAAGCACATAACATCTGCTTGAGTAATTGCATACCTCTTTGCGAGATACCCAGCCATGATTTAAGGGCTGCAAGTGATGAAGTTCTGCAGTCCTTACTCAGGATTTGACTCAATGAAAACATTGGCATATTATGCTCTCTGTCTGTTAGGTTGGAGGAACAGAAAGAAATACCTGGCTTTAAATAGAGCCTTGTTTGAAATCTGTATGAATAAACTCTGCAGAATTTAAAACAAACAAAAAGAGAATGCATCATAAGAATACTTGTGCCCCACCTTCTCTTTTGTAAGGACCAAAAATGTTGTCTTCCAGCCTTTTTTTGGGGCTTTTCAGAGAACATTGACAAAGAAGATGAATCCTGCAGGTGGATCTCTTTGGGTTTAAACTGATTTGGTTTTCTAATTCAGTAACCTACAGGAATAGTTTCCTGCCCTTTGTACAATCTGTTGTTCCGAATATACAGTCCAGTCTTGGTTTATGTGTGTTAATGCTCCGCCTTCAGTATCTTTTTAAAGACACTGATGTCAAAAGAATTACAGCAGAGGCACCAACTTTAAGTAGTGAGGGAAGTTCTCTCACAGGTGCCATAGGAACTCAAGTTTCCATGTGCTCACGAGACTTCCGCTGTTCAGACCTGACACCCAGGCAAAATGGTGACTGAACCCTTCACTTACTGACAACTACCAAAAAAGCAAATGAGCTCTGTGGCAGAAATAAAGACTGACATTCTGATCAACGTATTTGTGCCTGAGGTGGAAGCTGTGTAAATATACTTGGTTGTTAAATGTGATCAAAAAACTGACAAATATATATAGCCAAAAGATGGTAATTTTTGAACAAATGCAGATGCAATATGCTCACAGATCATGTCAGTAGGCAAACCTATGCTCATATGCAACTTTAAAGTCCACACTGCCAGAAATTACTTGCCCTCTTTCAGACACATTAACAAACAGTAGAAAAATATTTCAGAATACAGTTAATACTGCGAAAACACGAAGATGATGGTAATCTTGTTTTCTGCAGTAGTGAGCATTAAGCATACATAAACATTCAAACTACAGTAGCTCTGCTTTTTGACATAACAAATGTTTCCGATATTAATTTGCACCATCTGAGACAAGAATAGATTTTGCTTACGTCCAGTGGTGTCCTGCTATTGCTTGAATTGACTGCCACAGCTGAAGGTCATGGAGTGGCTTGGTGCCAATACAAACAGATGAAATAATAGGAAATCACTTTCTAAAAAAAAAAATCTTACCTTACTAAAAGAATCACAGACTCCTGAAAAATGTAAACTTTGAGAAGAGCATCAGTCATGGTTTTTCAACTCATCTTTCAAAGTTAAACCAACAGAAAAAGCAGTCATAATTATTTGCATATGTAAATAAAACAAGCTAGGATTTTACTTTGGGACTTACTTAGAACATTTTGGGTTAATTTACCTAGTCATATAGAGACTTCCTATGTGACCTTGGATAAATTGTGTGGGACAAGGTTTCTAAAGGTACGTAAATGCGTAGATATACATTTAGATATGCATTGGGGTATTCGCTACTGATTCTCAAAACTAACAGGCCCCGAAAATGACTGCATATCTACGTTTAAAATTATCTTTAAGTATTTTTCCCAAGGGTAGTCTGTGCATGTCTAGGCGTCCCCAAGCCCATGAATCTGTGCTATTGTAAACAATGGAATTTAGAATTATTTTCACCTTAAATTTTGATGCTAAGGTAGCATAGTGCCCATGAAGCCTTTGCGAACTGACAGTGCTGTAAGAGGGTAGACTCCCTTTCTGTAATATGAGAATAATTGTACCTTCACTAGGAGCTGTCAAAAAAAACACAGGACACGTTGTGAGACGATCATATCATGTCGTAATGTAGCCATATTTCAAACTTGAGTTAAGACAAGGAAAATATCCACTTGCTGCATGAAGAACACATTTGTTCTGTAACTTGCTCTCCCTGTTTTCACAGTTCATCAGAGAAGGGAGAAAGAATGCATCTCAGTTCTCATACAAAAATATAAATTAGGTAGAGGGAAGTCCTTACACCAGAACCTGATAGCGTGTAAGTAGAAGAAATCGCACAGTTGAGTGTTGCTCAGTACCTCCTGGAAGTTGCTCAGCACCCTAGATACACGGCAGAATTTGTACATTTGTTTCAGGCTTGATTCTGCAATATTGAATTAAATGAGTCTTCTCAACTTACACAGAATTCCCTTGAAATCAAGAGGACTAATTACACAAAAATCACTCAAGACAGGAGGAGTTGCAGTGAGGCCCCAAGAGACCACAGCTACATGCACTTTAGCCAGATGAAAAAGCTCTTTCCACAATGCACATGACATGCTGAATAAGCTAATTGCTGACGGGAAGGCACTATTGGTGTTTATTAAACATGATAGCTCAGAAGCAACATCCAGCTCAAGGAAACCCTCGATTTGAGGAGCCTGGAAGGGATACCAGGGGAAAAGAATTTAAATGTATTTCTTATAATAATTCATAAACATTTGCTATGAGCAACCATCAAAGGTGGGATAACACAGAAGGTTGTTACTCAGTTAACCACAATCCAATGCTTGACTGTCATGGATTCCATCACACGCATGAGAAACTACATCACAGTCAGAAAAAGGCATTCTCAGATTTCTGCGTCATAAGCTTCAACATTTACACTTGTCATTTTTTTACCTGCCACAGTGGACCAGTAAGATCTGACTATTGAGGATCTTCATGTTGACGAAGTAGATAATGCAGATATTATAATGAGATTTCTGTATGCCATTTAACAGTTTAGTTTTGCTATACTTTTTAGTTTTATAAAAATGCATTTATCCTCTGTACTAAGAAGCAACAAACTTTTCTGCTTCAAATTATTCAATTCTGGTTAGTTCACTTTAATTATTGCATATAAAAGTGTTTTATTCTTCTCTTCAATCAGACCGGCAGAGATCACTCAGAGCATTCAACTAGAACAGTCTCAATAAAAACTAATCATAAGCTCACGTGAGTTTGAGCATGGGATCTGGTAAACTCAGTAACAAATAAAACAATTCTAAACATTCATATTTAAAAAAAATTACAAAATCTGAACAATAAGTTAATGAAGTGAAATGGTTATCTACTGTTCAGATATAAAAATCTGAGCAACTATATATCACTATATATCACTATAGCAGACATGACAAAATTGTGAATAATGCTACCCACTGTCATAAGTGGTACTTAAAGATTTTCAACAGAAAATTTATAGTTTAATTTTCTGTTCATATATAGCCAAAAGTAAGAGGCAAAGCCAGCCTAATAGTAATCCAAGGTTCTGTAGAAGAAACATCAACCAGGGTCGCCGTGTCTGAATATGAGTCATTTCAGGAAGCTAAAAAAAGAATAAGACACCAGAATGAGAGCCAGATATATTCATCTCTGGGAAAAAAAGTCTTATGGGAAAACAAGATAAACTTCATTAAAAAGCAGACTTTAAAAATCCCGTGTTTCTGAATATAGCTATTAATCTGTAGCATGTTCTGTACATTGTAACAACACAGATCTTGACAGTGAAATATGTAAATTAATTAAGTTCTACTAATTTTGTTTCTTTCACTAGCACGAACAAGAATTATAAAGGAGATTCCAAATTTTTTTAACTTTTCTATAGTTTTTAGTAATTTTATACAGCTGTCTAAGGAAATGGTTATTTAGTAAAAGCAGTGATTCCCTTTTGTGGGAACAAACTAGTTTGAGGGTTTTTTTGTTTCAGTACTATATATAGGGTCAATCCTGCCCTTACTAACTGACAACGCTCATATTTACTTGGGCTTTAGTAAACATACAAGTCAAGATTTTTTTAAATATGATTGAAAAAATTACCTTTAATATTTTTGTCTGCAAGTTTTAAATCAGGTAAAGGATCAGCAGTTGTCTAGAATCATATTAAAAACTGCTTACATTGTCCTTCCACTGAACATGATCTCTTTTAGCAAAGTTTTAAGCAAAATGTATCTCAATAGAGCCTGTGAAACTAATGCCTCAGTCTCTTTCAGTACTTATGCTTTACAGATTATAGACACCAGAGGAGACACTACTGACTGCTGATACTTTCTCATCCATTTTGGATATAAATACAGAGTAAGGGTCTGCACCTGACCTTAGATTTTTGTTGGGGTTTTTCTTTTTCTTTTTTTTTTTTTCCTCCTGTCTATTTGTTGTGAACTTCAAGAACAAGTGGTCTCTCTCATCTCACCTCCCACCCTGCGCTCGAGTGGAGGTACTTATTTCCTCTGCTCTTTAGAGCCTCACAGGAGCTGTAACAGCATCAGCCGCAGGGAGACAGTGGAGTGGTGTGGACCAAGGAGGCTAATGGATTATGTTTCCATCTACTTGCTATGCTTGCCCTTCCCTCAGCCAGAGGGGGGTCCCTGGGTCTGCTTCTCCTGTACTTTTCTTTCTCTCAAGTTGGCAGGGGCCCAAAAGAAAGCTATGGTGAAAAATCTGCCTCCGCTTTCAAGTTTTGCATAAAAATAACAGGCAAGCCCAAACATCCTAGATCTTCAGTACAAGCATGCAGTTGTTTAAATTCTGATAAAAATTCACATCTTAGATATTTAATTTGTATTTAAGGATCATCAGAAGTGTTTAATATAAAGCAAATGTAAACACCTCAAAGTTTTGATGTAAATCAAGATCTGAACTGACAGCTTCTAAGTGATCAGAGAATGTGCTTTTTGTTCTGTATGTAAGTAAAAACTGCTAATTAGGACCTAGCCCTGAATCCAGGGTTCCAGTCTATACCTTTGGTCTTTCTAATTTATCCTTATAATCAGTCTACTTTTGTCCTCATCTCCAGTGCATGGGTGAACAAGTTCTCTAAAGATATAGAATAGGAAACTTTTTCCACTCCCACTGCAAAAACTAGTATTTTCTTTTATCGGTATCAATGCCAATTTATGAGTTATGTTCATGTACAGAAGTTTGCTAAGAAATTTTGAAAAAGGAATTCTCAGCAGGTAGTACCATTCCCATGTCCCATATAGATCTCTGCTCCTTCCACCTAACTTATGTGAGTGTATCAAGCTCACACAACATTTCCATAGCCCTACCTATTGTGACATTACTATTATATCTGAAAATAGAAGCTGAGTGCTGACACAGTATCAACTATGATTCCCCAACACACTCTGAACTCGCCTGTTCATGCTTCTTGTTTAGGAAGCATAAGACTATTCAACTGGCAGATGCAAAATGCTTCACAAATTAAGGGAATATAGCACCACATCCAAGCTATTGGATGCCAACACACTTGCTAATGCTTGAAGTCTGTTGGAAGCAAAAGAGTTATCATTAATCAAGGAACTACTCTATTCCCACTCCAGCTCGTTAGCATGAACAGACAAAAGACATGAAGAATTAGGAGGTAGCATTCTTGATATTCTTATTGTCTTTCTTGCTTCCATCTCCCTCCTTTCAGACTGGACAGAAAGTCTTTCTGGTCAGGAGCCATACAAACCAATACAATTTGTACAATCACTCAGAAATGACATCCCAGTCCTTGGGGTTTAATACAATGCATGTGATTTCGTAAGTGTCCATAATGGTTACTTCATAGATACTCATTTAAGAATCTGATAATATATTTTCAAGTTTGTTTTCCAAGAAGAAAAGGTGTCTGTTTTGTCAATAAATCAGTTCATTAGGAGGCAGTCTGTTCCATTCCATATATTGATGTTTCAATTCAGATTAAATTTCAACTTAAATTTAAGTTACATTAATTTAAGTTAAATAAAAGGTATGTTATTAATGAAAGTATCTTCGGAAATAATGCAAGATTATGGTTATACTTATGACCTCTAAACAAATAACATGTCCAAGCAATCTCACTTTACTGCTCACAAAAAGCTTGTTTTAGGGGTTGAATTGAATTTAATTTTAATTTAATTTAGTTAAACAACAACTAAACCCACAGTCTTAACTCTGTTTACTCACACACATATCTTGAAAAAACAAACAATTTACATTGCAATATTACACCTGCGCATACACATCTGCAAGACAAAATACTCCTCCCTTCCACCTTCCCCAGATACTGGGAAGATGAAGTTTTGCAGAATTCCTTGGTGAAAAATTATAAAAGATATAAATAATGTTATCTTTTGTCCTTTTCCTCAGATTTTTAAAATGATTAGCCTACTCTGCATGTAAATGGAGCTACAATGCCATGAAATGGAAAACCGTTAATTACCACCAAAGTGGTTTTGTGCAACCCTAATTGCAGCAGCACCTCACAGTGCTGTCCTGTCAATGTCAACCACCTCATACCCCTCAGTGTTCCTCAATGCAGAAACCAGCAAGGCTGTTCAGTCTTATTTAACTGCTGCTCTGACAAGCACATGAATATGTGAAAGCCCATAAAACAAATACTGAAAATTATAGTTAAGCTTTGTACACCATTTAGTATTTGTACCCCATTGGCAGGCACACTGATGATCGCTGTTTGTAGATGAGAATGCAGCAGGGAACAGAAGTTATTTCTGTGCAGAAAGTTGAAAAATACATAAAGCGTGTCTGATTTGCTTTTGAGATGTACTATGCAAACATACAAATCTTTTCAGGTTTATAGATCCCTGCAGTGCTACAGGAATATTTTTTAAATAAAATAATCCCTGTGATATTCAACACTTGGACTTCTATCAGACATAGGTGAGCAACCCAGTGGCAGTTCTTTGGACAATATGGAGAGAAAGGCTGACTGGAATCCCTATTAATAAAAGGGAGGTGAGAGACTTAAGATCCCTCTCTCTTCCTTCCTTCTCCTCTCCACATCAAGAACAAGATTATGGTGACAAGCTGAGAACAAGGGAAGACATGTCCCTGTCTCTGAGTCATCTCTTGGGATTTACAGTTGGCACATTGCTTTAGAGACTCAAGGAAAAACATTGTGGCGTTCTGAGAGCTTGTGGATCCCTTATGGATGCTGATCCTACACTGAAGAAAAAATATTCCTGAACCATTCTTAGACACATAGGTAAAACTATGCCTTCTGAGTAGGTAGGCAGCCTCAATTCCAAATTTCTCTGTATCAGAACAAGATGCAACTTGGTACAAAGTGTCTTGTCTCTTATTTACCACCTCAGTCTGGACTGTTGACACATCCACAATCCTTAGGCAGTTCCCTCATATGCTCTTAGCAACACTTTATGTTTACTTTAGTTGTGTTACAGTAGCAAAAATAGATGAAAATACACCCAGGGTCTAAGGTCAATTATTACAATTAGATTTTTAAATATGTTCTAATACTGGGATGCGATATCGGATTTCAACTATTATGCTTGAACCTGATAAATAAGATCTCAGGCATGACATGGGGGGTGGTAGCAAACACAACGGAGAGACAGGGAAAAGCACAGTAATAATTTATGAAGAGACAGACCTCTTTTTTTCCCTCCTCTCTTGATCTAATCACTCAAAATACTCAGTCTTTGTTCAGGAAGTTTGCAAGCAACTTTCCATTAATACACTTTAAAGAGCTATATGACACTTAAAATAAACTGGCAAGGTAATTAAGTTCTGCATTGCTACAAGCCTAACAGTCAGCCATCTCTTCAATAAGTGATGTGGCCTGAGGCATCTGCATGAGCTATGATTCCATCACATTCTTACACAGTCCTAAAACTTTTTTCTGAATGTATATCTTCACATTTTATTTGCTACAGTCAGGTCATTGTTATCGAACTGAGAGAATGATGAGCAAATATGAGAAAAGTAGAGACAATCTGATGGGTTTTGAATTACTGAGGAGCTCATATAAACCTCTCAGATATAGAAAGTCTGGCCAGAAAGAGCACAGGAAAAACATCTTGCATTTTAGCTCAGAACCAGCAAAATTATGTTGAAACAATGGGTGAAAAATACATAAAGAAAAGGGCAGTAAAAAGAAAAAAGGTAACCAACTTCTTCAAGGTTTTAAAAACCCCTGAAGGTTCAAATGTTTCTTTGTTTTACTAAGTAACTCTATCAGGCCTAAAAATATATTGTTTACCTTTCCCCCTTTAAAAGTCCTTTATGCCTTTCTCATTACCCTCTTAATAACCTTCATTTCACCTTTTTGTTACTAATTACACTTACCATGGCAGTGACACCAAGGAAAACCATACTGTTGTTCCAAGCACTGTACAGACACACAACAGACAGTATGCTCTTCCCAAGAAGTCTATGAACTCTTTTCCCCTCCAAGTTAAACCACTGCACTTGTCTGACACTCATCTGTGATGTGGCTATGTTAAAAGGAAAATATAACAATAGACTGAAGTTCTCACCATTTCTGCTAAAGATAAATACAGGAACATTCCGGCTGTAACAGTAAAAATCCAGTTTTGAATGCATGGGTCAGTTGATACAGAAAGGCCAATATAAAGTCCTAAGAATGCTGTTAGTGCACTTATAAAATTCATCATAATTGCAATCTTCGTGGGGAGCCCTGTGCTTAGCAGCACAGCGAAATCTCCTGCATAGAGAAAAAAAAAAAACAAACCACAACAGAAAATGTATTATTTAGCTGATAAATGTATTTTTAAAGATTCTTGGTAATAAAACACGAAGGAAAATAATTAAGATATGCGCAAAGATAGTGAATGATGGAGAACTGCCCTTAGATTTATGTAGAATTATTTATAAGCTCATCCTATGTGGAAAAAAAACCCAAACCACAAAAACCAACCCACCCTAACCCCCATATTGACTTTTATTTGTTTAGCTGTTCCTAAAGATAGCATACAGTATACAGGAGTGGTTTTCTGCTGGTTCTCGATGTTCTGTGACATTTCCAACTTGGATACATGCAAAAGTGAAGCCACATGCTTTCCCAGAGTTTCTAAATCTTTCTCCATTGGGAACTTGCCAGTTCAAATCATGTGAGGATATTTGCAGCATGGTCTTTGAGTGTTTTACAGGTGCTGCAAGTCAGAAAATCCTATGCCAGTTTGATTCCAGTTTTATTACACTGATTTTAGACCTAATTAACTTTGGTAAGTTGTACATCAGAATCCCATCACAGATTTTTCTTTTGAAAGAAATTATTTCATAGCAGTAAAAGATTTTGAAAATTCTTCTCCATGAGTGTAGAATGCCACTTTCACACTGGGGCTCTACTACCCCAGAATTAAGAATGTCTGTTTTTAGAACTCGCTGTTCGGTATTTTGGCAATTTCTTTGCTATGCAAGCAAGAGTTACCAGTTTTAAAGCAGTTCCCCATCCCATCTTTTTGTCTGGGGAGGTTTTCTGCATAGACATCACATGAACTCTTCAGTCATTTAAGATTACAAATAAGAATCCATACTTCTCATCTCAAATTTGCCAGCATATATATGCTCATCAGCACATGTCAGTAACAACTTCATCCACACTGAAAGATTTACCACAAGGAGATAATTGAGGACAATGTTCAATAGAGCTATCTTCCTGTCCTGCCTGCTAGTAAAATGGGTCATATATCTTCTTTC